GAGTTGTGAAAAAACCTCTACTTTATTTCAGCTTGCAGTTGCCATTTTTTTATACTTCCTTATATTCCACGACAGGATTTTCAAATACTTAAATAATGCGTTTAATAATGCGCCACAAACTACATTATTTATCGATTCAGTACTTAAAATTATAAAACTATTATCTGATTCCCATGTTACTATTAAGTGATTACCATATTACGAAACTTTATGGGACAGTTTTTCCACTACTTGAAAAAAATGTCTGTAAAATGGTAACACTAAACTGATAAAGGAAATTAAAATAATCAAATAGGCCTGGGGTTCCTGTTGATCCTGGGGTTTTACTGACTCAGACGATAGTTTAAAAAACTAAGATATTTACAAGAATTCGTTTTAATGACATTTTAAGACGCTCAAATTATACTCAACTACGAATTCGCCATTGTTCTTTGATAATTGTACTTAGATTCGCGAGAGATTATGTTATTGTCTATTGTAAGACAAAGAGGCAGCAAAAAACTATTATCAGAAGGTGAAATAAAATTAATAAAACTATAAAAACCAATTAAAAATCCTTGTAACGTAGATTCCTTCCGTTTTTACATTCAAAAACCTCAGGAGCCGTAAAAGCCAAGATTATACTTATATAACGAATACGAGTTAGTTATAATTACATCGACCGTTGTTAGAATTGCATTAAATCAAGTTTATTACAATGATAATTTTAATTGTTTATGCTATCTCGGTCATAATAAATACGCAAGCAATGAAGGTTAACTCTGAGATGAATTATCAACCAAATAGTCATCCAAATTGTTATTGAGTGTGCAATCATGTGTTATTATGTGCCATTATAAACAAATAAGGATAAACATGGCATTGAATTGAAAACTAACTGATACCACCACATCGTTCAAGTGCCAAATTAAAAAATAAACAATCGGTTACTGTAAGATATATCAGTATATTTCAGGTTCCGCCTAAAGGTCAAAAAACCTACCCTGCGCTAAGCAGACGGCAACACATACTTCTTGTTATGTCGAATTAAAGTTTAAACGTAGATTCCTTTTTTTGTTGACGTTACTATCCAAAGGTAGGCACATTCGATTGTGAACCAAACTTCTGTTAGATACGATTTCGTGTTGCAGCCAGTAGATATGGTCTGTCTTGTCAAGTCCATTATCAGGTCTGAGCCAGGCACGTGCGTTCATTAACTGCTTTAATATCAAATCGACGTGAAAATGGAGAAAGGTCTTGTTTTCACTTGGCCAACCACACCGACTGTTTCTTCCCGATTACGAAAAAAACTTATGTAACTAATACATGCAAGCTTCCTAGGGATATACAGCACGCGATCTTGTCGATGGTCACTAATTAATGTCAAATTGTCGACATAAATTGACGCTCCCGGAAACCATTAGTAACATGCCATGTTCCTTCCTGTGAACGCGTCTGTAACAGAACATTACAGTTAAATAGGTAAGATCATTCGCTTGCAAACGTACGATTGCTACCTTCCTTTTGGATATTGGAATGAAAAATAAAAGCTAGCATTTTTTTTGTATAGTCAGCTTGAATTTCTGTAATAATATATTAGATATTCATTCATTCTATAATACTTTATAATTCGTCAATGATAAATTATGATTCTGTATAAAAGGAAAATATACACATCTGCGGTGAATGCCAAAATTTATTTTTTATTTACAATTTGTTTCTAAATACAAGTTTGACATGTGGATTAACGAATATAACTTAACCTAACTATATATATACAGTGTTTTCTTTTCAATGTTTGTTATGTTATATAGCCTATAGCCTTCCTCGATAAATAGGCTATCCAAAACTAAAATTATTTTTCAATTTGCACCAGTAGTTCCTGAGATTAGCGCGTATAATCAAACAAACTATATACCAATAATATTCCACTCCTGAACATAGACCTCTCCTTAGAGAGGAGGTTTTGGCCTACTATACTGGAGGACTGGAAAATGTCAGCACGGATTAACAGAAAATACTTATTGAGTTGAGGAAGATCATAATTCAGCTCTCATTTTTTTTTTTCACATTAGATAAACTGTTTATCATTTTCAATGTTCTTAGCTCCTCATATAGCACAAATTGTGGTGTTATTTCAGGACCAGTAAGATCTACAAATCTTCAAGAAATAATTTGCATGTATTCTCTTATGTTTTTTCTTCTTCTCCTCCTCCTTCTCCCTAAAACACTAAGCAATATTACTCTGAAGTCGGCATGGGATAAAGTTGCAATCATCTGTGATTAATCATATGATGTGATTTTCATATTTAAAATAATTTCATCAAATATGTGGCTCATCTACTACATCACTGCGACTAATTATTATAATTACGCTAGCGCCAGACACGCGAAAGGTTTAAATCTAAAAAGGTCGGTTTTGATTGATTTTGATGGCATTAATCTTTGTCTATGACCAAATCTAAGTAGTGATTTATTACAGTTGAAATCGCAGAGACCAGAACTAATCATTTCAATAAATGAATGTGATTTAAAAGTAGCAATAATAACCACGTCCACTCTGAAGTCTCATTGTTGGCAATAATAGGTTTGGGCGGTATGACGCACGCTGCTAATCATGGTAACAAGCAGATCTATGAAGGCGTTAGGCCTTGTTTACATGCGTTCCTTTTTTTTTGACGGGGTGGAAAATCCCTTCGGATCTTCTGCTCCTCGGGCTAGGAGGTAGGAGTATGTGGTGATTCCACTAAAAACCACCCCGACGGCCGGCCTCAGGTGCCCTACTCTGGGAGGACCTGGACCATGTTATTTTAGGTCCTCCCCATGACACCATGCCTAGTCAGGCCCTATCACAGGTGAAAATCATTTCCCCCCTCAGTCGCGACGTGGCGGCCCAATTTGGATGCGTGCCTAGGCGTGGCAAACGTTCACAGCTCCAAACGCTCAGATGTCATTTACACGCTTGCGAGTGTGCTATTGTGTTCCAGACAGGCAAACATAGCAGACGTGGACATATTATTTTCATTCAAAATATAAACTACGCTCTACTAAATTTCTCAATCAGCAAAGCATCGAGACTTAATGTTGATTCCTTACTGCTCAACTACTAGTCCAGTCAATGAAAGCTTAACTTTGCCATTTTGAGTTGATGACCTGTAACCTGAAATTATATGAGGTCTGATTGCTCTAGAGAAAGCATGCCCACTAAGCATTTCTTTACAGACTCAGCTGCATAAGTTTGCGAAATGTGCACACCTGTATTTGCAAGATATGTCACAATTGGAGTTTATAATGGACGATAAGGAATATGATGAATATACACAAAGGGGCTTCTTCACTATTCATCGATTCACTATTCGAAACATATTAATTAAATCTCAATGACGCATGTAGGATCGTTTTAAAATGGAAAAAAATGATTAACAATAAGTATATATATATATATTTTTTTAATTTTGCACCTTTAAATGCATTTCGTGCAAAAACTATGGGAGATAGGTACGCGAAAATACGTTGATACCTTTTTTGTAGGAAATTTAATTTTCCACAACTTTGAATTAGGATTTTTTTCTATTTTCCCAGCCAGTCGCGAGATATTAACGAAAAAGTCGTTTTTGCACCATTTTGTAATTTTTTTGCACCCTTTGCCGTCAATGCAGCACCCTGCAATTTTAGTATATTAATCTACGAACCCTTACTTAAATTTTCGCGTTGGTTGCAGATCATCAACTCAAAATGGCAAAGATAAGCTTTTATTGACTGGACTATACTATATTTGTAATATCAAATTGAGCAGTAGTGAACAAGCACGCGCTAACGTATAAATACGTCGCAAACGCTTGACGCGAGCTTCCTTTGATCTGTGTTCAAAAACCGACATTAGTAGCGATCGACGACGAGCATACGCGAGCCGAGACAAACATCCCGTTTACACGCTTGTGTCTATGTGGAGACTTGTCGTGTAAACGGTCTATAACACTATTGAATTTTTACCTAAAAATACCAATGCTTTCATGTTGATCTTACATAATACTTAACACTTGCACTTCATTGCTATTGTTATCATGTTGTTGTCATGTTAAAAAAATTTTATAATTAGAATTTGTTGTAGAGCCATCTAGTGACCAATGCTGATTGATAATAATAATAATAATAATAATATAACCTCACACATCTCACACACGGCCGTCTGATCCCAAACTAGGCAGAGCCTGTGCTATGGTAACCAGACTGCTGATAAACATACTTATATATTTTTAAATACATACATATTATAGATAAATTACACCCAGACACAGAACAAATGATCGTGCTCATCACACAATATTTGTCCTGGGTGGAAATCGAACCCACGACCTCCGGCTTAGCAGTCAGGGTCACTAACCACTAGACCAACAGGCCCGTCAACTGTCACCGTGATGAGGTCAATCAATGCCCAGTGACAAAAATTATGTAATCAATTAAGGTTTAGTAAAGTTCAATCAAATACGACAACAATTGTTATAGATGGACATAAAACTTATGAAGACTGAGAGCTTAAATAGCGCTTTACAGATTTATTTCTCGCAAAAATATCTATATCAAATTAAAAGTATAAAAGTCTGTCTTCAAAGATTGATACACAATAACGAAAGAAGTAAGGGTAATACTTTTTCTTTTTTTTTTCTTTGTTACACTCGGCGTAGTAGGAAGCGGCGTGGCGACTGCTTACATCACTACATAATCTGTGTAATACTATATTAATACTATAATACCAGCAATACTATATTATGCTTACTTCTTTACAAACGATACGATATTACAAAAGAAAAAATGCCGAAAATAACCTCATTGGCAGTTTTGAAAAGTCGACATAATGACAGAGTTAGCATGGTAACACCACGAATCAGGTTGATAGTTGAATAGTAGATGGCAACATTGGCAACTCGTTAATATATAGTAATCTGTGCTAGATAGTCTCGTAATTTTAGTCTTGTGCAGTTTTTGCGTTTATTTTTTTAATTTCTGTGTGAAATTTTAAGATGTATACTGTTTCCAAAGGACCTAGCAAAATTGTAGCCAAAACTCGGCGAGGTATATATCACCGGAATATCGTTCTTAAGAAGTTATAACTTGTCAGTGATCATGTGAGATGAAATTTCGCAAACTTTTATCATTTGCAGGCCTCCCACAGAATTTAGAAAGATTGGACTGCCGCAAAGACCACAATAGAAAGTCTTCAGAATCTGAGAAAGGAGAAATAATTAAGTATGTGTCATTTCACCGTAGTTTGCGCTACACAGTTACTTCTGGATTTCATCACTGTTTTTATATAACCTCTCCGACCGCTAATTTGGATTTTCTATATTTATATAAATTATCACAAACCTGTGATATTAAATAATCATAGATAATTAATAAACAAAACTTAGTTTATCTTGTGAGAAATCCATACATAGAATATTTTGCAAAAAATTTACGATAAGGTTTTAAGTTGTTTTGTTTTTTTTTATTTCAGTATGCCCAGGCCAACATTTCATTCCAATGGTAGAAAGACAGTACACCACAGAATACCGCACCAGGTAATAACACCACAGCATGAGGAAATCATTAGATTCATCAGTGAAAGTAAGTGACAATATTATTTCCTTAAATCTCTCTTGAAACATCTCTTCACATCAACAGCTATTAATAGGCGACTGCTAGACATGGGCCTCTCCTTAGGAAGGAGGTATTGGCCTACTATACCATGCTGACTAGACGGGTTGATATAGGGTTTGTGTCAAGTTTTCCTCCTCCTTGCAGTGCTGTTGTAGTTTGTTCCCTTAGTCGGCTTTTACAGCACCCACGGGATGACTATTCATGGGGTGGTGACACTGTATTTTCCATCTGTCACCAAATGGACAAAACTTCTCTTATTGTGATAATTATGGGAAAAGTAGTCCAGTATATCATATACTTAATTGGTTTTAAAAATAGAAAAAGATTTGAACATATAAATATTTTATATATCTGCAATATTAAATTATAGACTAGATAATTTAAATTTATTATATTGCACTTGTAAATTGTGATAAGGATAAAATAATATATTAACATGAATAATTTCAGCTTGGACCCAATCTGCCATTGGAGAGAGTGAACCGTCATCACCTACAAGTACAACTGGTAAGAATATTGTTCTTAATACACACAACAATACGAGTAACACTATGATTCCCATTATTAGAATAGAGTTGGAACAGCTGAACAGATTGTGGCTAAGAATTAAGTGACCCTTTAAAATAAAGAACACTAACATTAACTCTAATATTGTCTATTCATTTAAGGGCTTTGATGTACATACATACAGATATATTCATAATCATACATAATAGTAATGGATGAAATAAAAATAAAATAACGGTGAAGCTATGAACAAATGGATTTCTGACCAATTGGAAAACCAACATTATAAGCATGTCTTGTTTTTATTTTTCTTTAATTGTACAGTACTAGTATCACAACAACTTTATAACACACTTTTATGGTTACTTGATTTTGAAGTTTTAAATAGAGTTTAAGTCTACATAACCACCTGTGTGTGGTATCCCAAGCAATTTCCGCACAGAAAAAAAAAGTGGAGAACTCTAGCTCAGCTTCCCTATTCCAAAAACACACTTATTCTGCCATTTTGTTATTAGTAACTTGTTATCTCTTCACTAATTAATGAATTTAGTCAACAATCGGTACAAAGATAAACTCTTATTTACACCGCTGACAACATAAAATCCAACAGAATTTTGAACTGCAACAGGTTGTTTTATCTCTATAGGGGATTTTCACTAGACAACCTTTGATTTGAGATAAAATAGGATTCCTAAATATAAATAGAGTAGTTGACATTCTAAATGTATATTTCGCATATGAATACCCAAAACCAGACCAATATCAAATACCTATCTAATAAGAATATAGTAAATCTAATATAATAGTTAGTACTTTTAGACTCATTCATAATCATCTAAATATAAATAAGAATTAATTGCTCTTTCTTAGTCTGGCTAAAACTTGAGGACAGTTGGACTGTTTCAACTAATTTTGGTCTCGAAATATTTGTGAAGTCCAGGAGAAGTTTAAATGGTAAGAAAACTTAGAGAAATTGTGATGGCAATAGTAAAAACAAAAAGAATATTTTCCCACACATAATGTTCTTTACTGTCAAACATTTGATCTTCGTTCCGTCGCATCGTTACGATACACTCGGCTCCTTTCAAATTAAATACGGCATTATACAAAGGTTTCAAATCACAACATATATTCAGAATATTTCATATTTAGATTTAAAAAATGCAAAATATCTTCATAACAAAGGATTGACATATTTGTTGGTTGACAAATATTTATATTATAAATAGATGTAGCTGATACAAAAGTCACTGGGTCTTCTAAATAATATATATATATATTATGTGTAGTTTTAGTTTAGCTTATGTTCTTAAAAATTCTTAACAACAGATATCATTTAAAAAGAACATCTGATATTTAAATTGAGAATCGTATAATAAATAGAGTTCCTTTTAAGAAAATATCAAGTATAAGACCTCATTCTATTGAGACTAGCAGTGCAAGTGTCATAGATAAATATTAATGGAACTACAAATGTACATGGCATTCTGTACACAATTGAAACCAATTAAATCAGTTCATGAGGTATGATAGCTCTATGGTGAACAACAACACTTCTGTCTGTCCTATTATCTGGATCATGGACATATTTATTTGTATAAGGAGCTAATATAAATCTAACTTTATATACGAGTATCACATCAACAATTTCACAGTGGAAAGCTATGTTTCAGCATATGTGGGAAGGCTTCACCTCGAAAACCGATGTTAAACAATACTAATGTTGCATTTTACTGAGTGAATGGGGTTACCGGAGACCCAGAAACCCTCCCTCCTCCGAAACTCAAGAGAGGGCCCAACCGCAAAGGCCGTCTTACATATTTTAGGAACTTGAGTTACAGTTAGATGACCCTTTTGCTTGTTTGTCTGCTAAATCCTAAAAAAAAACATTAATTACACACACAATTATTGCATTGTTCTCAGTTTTGAATTACTTGCTCTATTGATTAATTTAAAGAAAAGATATGTCAAGATTTATTTGCCATTATTTATTATGTATACAATGTTATGATGAAATCATAATGCCATGAAATAGTGCAGATTCTGTGTTGCCAATGCATGTATTTCAATCGTTGGTGGCACTTGTTGCTATATTCTGGAAATAATTACATAGCTATATTACATATTGCAAATATGTCTTTCACACTATAATATTTTAAGCATAACATTTGAAGCTGGGTGGTTTGTGTTGGTTTCGGTTTAATCTGTCTTTATCTATGAACAGGCCCGTCTATAGCCAATGGGCAGGCCCTGGGCACATTACGACAATAGGGCCCCTACCACCTCGACTGAGGACTTTTTTGTTAGAATAGACAAATAAAGTATAGTAGTCAGTCATTATCGTTGAATTTTTTCAAAGTAAATATGTTTTATTTTAGCTAATAAAAGTACTGACCCAATTATCTATACAATTTAGCTATTTTGATGGTACATGGTTTGTTTATCCCTCTACTATACAAGTCTGCTGGATGGGAGGCGATGAAGTTAGCGAAAGCGTTTTTTACTGTCTCTCGGGTGTTGAATTATTTCACACAATTTTTTTTGTCTAAATTTTGAAAAAAGTAGAAATCTGTTGGGGCAAGGTCCGGTGAGTACGGTGGGTGACCGAGAGCTTCCAGCTGTAACTTTTGTAGCTTTGCGATGGTCTGTCGTGGCGTGTGAGCTCGTGCGTTGTCGTGAAGAAGCAATGGGGAAGAGCGATTGACCAGTCGTGGTTGTTTTATTGCGAGCTTTTCCATCATTGTTTGCAATTCTTGACTATCAGCCGTCACTGTTGTGCCATTCAGTAAGAAGCTGTGATGTACAAGTCCGGCACTGGTCCACCAGTCACCATCGTCATTTCAGATTAGGTTCCGTACCACCACTGAGACGAATCATTACAGTTATCGTACAGAATCCAGTTTTCATCGCAGGTAACAATTCGATTTAGAATTCTATTGTTTCCATGCAGATTCATTATTGCTACGAATGGTTAGACGCGTAAGTCTTGCTGATGATCACTTTGTTCTTGTTGTAACACCCACTTATCTAGCTTTTTATCTTTCTAAGTGCTTTAATGTTGTTTCGACACTTACTCCAAAACCCGCAGCTCAGCCTTAGATTGAGTTAAATTGGATCCGCTTTCACTATCGCTTTTAATTCGTCGTTGTCGACTATAGTTGTTTTGTTTTGTTTTAAAAAGACAATTGTTACCGGCCCACCGCGAAGCTCGTGCCTCAACTCGAAATTTCCAGATCTAAAACTATTGAACCAATAATGTACCGTGTTTATGCAAGCAGTGTTAGGCCCATACACGTTATGTTTCGTGTTGTTTGCGCAACAGTATTTCCACGTAGCCATACCGCCAAAAACTGCCACAATTTCACAAAAACAACACATTATCTAAAACAAATGACAATTTAAAATAAAATGGCTTTTGAATACAATTTATTTGAATTTAGAATTAATCGCTAATCCGCGGATAGTTAAATCTGAAAATACTGGTTTTAAAAATATCCAACTTCATAGGTAACCTAATGAGGCTAATTGATATGATTTTATCTGGTGTTTTTAAATCTGCCCTACTAAGATTGACCTGCCTAATTTAGTATCAACCACCATGAGTTAAGACCAATCATCGATTCAAAGAGTATGTGGTCACACAGAATGTCACTAATTAATGTTTTAATTTTTTACAGAATCTGAGAGCTCATCCCCGACTCCTCCATCGAACCTATACTACCATGACGATGAACCAAGCCCTGTCCTACGTGACTTCGAGCCCTTTGACCTTGAGACGTGGTGGGGCAAACGATTGTTCCAAAACATTACTAAATCCCTTTAAGTCCCTTAAGTCTATTAAATATATGCGGGAACACGAATGTTGTCGGTAGCATAAGTCACAATCATCTGTAGTTTACTAAATTTTAAGATTGCAAGCCAAAGGAAGTGGGTAATCTTATTAATAAAATTAGATTATGCACTGATTGAATGAGATAGTCAGGCTTAATCTAGAAAATTAGGTTACTCACCAACTAAAAGAGTTACAAGTTTTGGTCAGTTCTTACCAGTGTAAGCCCAATACTGTTAGCAAGGGTTAATCTTATAATTACATCACAATAAATACATGCTCTTTATACGTTATTAACAATTCTTTCGTATAAAGATATATTCCTAAGTAATGTTGATGTGAATAAACTGTTTTCCTGTGGAAACTGGTACAATCCCACGCCGGGTAAGAATGACATTAGGTCCTTCAGGTCTAACCATTTCTAGCGACATCGTCCATTTGAAAGAGAGTAAACCTACCTCCATCTCTCTAGAAGAGAGCTAGACATGCGGTGTTCAATCCTTAATAATCCTTAGTAGCAATCCTTCCTAGGAACACAATAATAATTGGTTTTATAGTAACAGTAGCATAGATCTGTTGTCCAGAAGGTCTTCAAAACTTTTTTAACCCCACTTTTTGTTTATGAAACATTCAAACATGTTCTTAAAGTGAAAAAAATCTGGTAATATGATGAAATATATTGTTCCATAAATTACGATAAAAATCATTATCTATATATATAGTTTTTATTGTAAAATAAATTAAGTAATCTACAGTTGATTGTGGATCTCAATAGTCGTAATGTAAGTGAAATTTTCCAAAAGCTCAATTACTTTGCATTGTTACTGCAAACCTTACCTTACCTTATTTAAGATATTAGTGTTGTGTGAATGATTCTTGTTGATGATTATACTTCCCCCACTGTCGCTGGTTCATCTGAGCCTCAGCTGTCAACAGCCGTTATATCGGTCGCGGAACCTGTCTACAACAGGTAACGTTGTACTATTCGACCGACGACATACTACATTACGGAGTCGGAATTAATATATACCAAAGAATATCATGTTAACGAATTACCGCGATAATCTATACTTTTTTTAAATACATTTCGAATCTGCTTTTGCCAAAATGTTATATGCCAAATTATTTACTATTGAGTAGAGTATATTATTTTAAATTGTTAGTTCACTGTTGTGGTGTTATTACTTATTGCAACTATTTTGCAGCTGGAAGTGCCTATACAAAGCAATAATATAAACAGTATTATAAATTGTTATTCAATGGATAAAATTTTACACTGTATATATGTACAAGTCATGAAGTGCGTAACAAAATCATGTTAAATAAGCGTAAAATAGGTATTAATACTTATTTATTTTGCATCTGTCCTTGACTTGCATTATTGCAGGTTGTTTACGGCCTATTACATGATCCAAAAAACAGTCAGATACTATTTATGAGAAATTACAGAGATAAAGATCACTGTTTTCGTTTAGTGATAAGCTATTCAATTATAATATAAAATTACGGCATATCCTAAGAAAAAGAAACTTTATAATTAAGGCAGCCCTCAATAATTACGTTTTATAGAAAAAAATTGTAAGTTACATTACATATTTGTTTTTTAATGTAGTTAAATTTTTATTGTGAATATAGCTGATGTTAAATGTAACAGGTAAAAATAAAGTTACACATGGTAGCTTTTCTACGTCACAATGTTATTGTTAAACTGTTAAATATTGAGTGTTTATGTTTGTTATGCACAGCGTCTGTTGCCGGAGGCTGAACGGTGTCTTCCATATCAATTTATACCAAATTAATCATGTTATTTATTTTGTCGTGTACAAATCTTTGGAATATTGATTTTGATTTCCGTTGTAAATAAGAAAATTATCAAAATGTTTATCTTTAAACTTAACATACCAACAAACTATTACTTATAGAGCAGTTTAACTAGTTTTGTATATTTTACTGCAGTAATTGTATATCAGATGATGTACGTTGGTAAATTTATAGTTACTTTTGTATAATAAATTGCTTTATTACTGCATCTATTGTGTACAAAACGAGTAGAAGATTGAAAGCAATATTAGTTAAATAACAAATGCACGAATGGTAGTATACATTTTAACCTTTTAGATGAAATATTTGAGTCGTTGTAGTTATAACGCAGGAGAATATTTTTAGACTGATTTAGTTATTAAAACGTTATGCTTTTTGTTGTAGTTAAATAAATCATCTGATAAATTACGAAGTTTTTGATTTTATTAAATCACTTTACAAAAGTCTTCTTTGCCAATCAAGACTATTCCTGACAATTGAGAAAAGAGACAAATTGTATCTGTGGCCTCTTGTATTTGTTTTTTTCTACCACATTCACACAACGCCATCTAGTCCCAAACTAAGTAGAGCTTGTAATATGGGTACTAGACAACTGATATAAATACATAGTATATGCTTTTTTTTTAAATACACACTTATTATAAATAGAAACAACCAGACCAAATCAAATATTAAATGTTCATGCACACAAATGTTTGACTTGAGCGGGGATCGAACCCGCGACCTTTTGAAATAACAGTCCCTTACACGAACCACTACGCCATCCGGTCCTCATCCGTATTTCCACTATTGTCGGGCGTCGTCTTGATTGGCAGGAAAGACTTGTACCAAACAGACCAGTGCACGTCTCCGGACTCATTTACAGACAGCCCATTATTAGACTATTCACTTTAGAATGAGGATGACAAAGACTTCTGAATTATGTGGTTTTAAGGTTTACCATCTTAAAATCACGCCATTCAAGCGCAATTACCAAATCAAAGAAGAATGAAATAGCTAAACAAATTTGCTACTAATTTGGTTGCATCACAGCGAGTCGATTTTATTTGTAGGTGAATAAATTGAAATATTAAAATGTCATCTTTAGAGGTGAAGAAAGCGTATTCTATCTTACACAACACAGGAATTTTGTGTCAGAGGATGACTGCTACTACTGCCAAACATGTGCCAAAGACTTTACCGCAGATAACTTATAAATATGATTGGGTTCCCATTGATTTGGATTTGGATTGGGTTGATATGAAGTGTAGTAGCCCGACCGGGTTTTGATACGATTGTCGGCGGGGACAAATATCGTCCGATTCGATTTACCGGGACCTCCTGTTTAGACACCCACGCGGGGCATGTCTCTTAGGCATGCTTGCTTGCCCAGTTGGCTGCGCAGTACTGGCATTGTCCAATCTCACGTCCGATCGAATTCAAGTACTCACCGAAGCAACTATGCCCGAGGAGAACCTGCGTCAGTTGGTTGCGACCTGCCTCCATACTTATCCACTTTTGGAGGTTAGGCTGAATGGCACCAACAGCGCACATTCCACGACTGGTCTAGCCGCTCGTGCGGCCTGAACCTGAACCCCGCCAGGATATCCAAAGACACCAAAAGTGCCAGGACTGTATACTGAATAACCGCTACCCGGTCCGCTTTATTTATCGGGCCACAGGCCGTATCATTTATCTATAATATGTATGTATTTAAATATATATATGTTTATTAGCAGTCTGGTTACCATAGCATAGGCTCTGCCTAGTTTGGGATCAGACGGCCGTGTGTGAGATGTGTGCGGTTATTATTATTAGACAGGTATAATCCGCGCAAAATGCTCCTCGAAGCTCCAGCGACAGTCCAGGGTGAGGCTGAAATACTTGTTTGCCGAAATACATTTTGATAGAGACACCATTTTCGGAAGGACGTGACTATGCAAAAACAAATAACAGTCTTGCAAATTATTAACATCTTCCCAAAGAGTTCCATTTTCGAATACCATAAATGTTTTTTTCTTTTAATTATAAGTGGCCAGATCCAGAAACTTTCAGTTTGCCCCACATATTACAACAATTATGGATTCTTGTACGACATAGTTTAAAATCTTTGCCAAATAACGAGCGTTTTAAGCATTGTAATGATTTAGGTGAAGTACTTCAGCTTCCGCAGAAAGAAATATTTCTAATTTCCATCGAAGCTGATTTAGCTGCAAAAATTAATTACAAGTCTTCCAGAGGACTTCAGTAAAGCAAAAAGACGAAGAAATTACTATGGTAAGAAATTGAATCATGCAAGTAGCAAGCAATAACACCTTTTTTCAAATATATATGCTTGCTAATATTCGTATTCTGCCACCGCGAATTTTTTTCACCATTTTTTTTTTCATCATCAGTAGGTATGTCGTGTAAAAGCATGTTTGGTAAAATAGATGTATTAGGCCCCTATGTCGTAGAAACGAAAGAAAGGGGCCTAGCTGATGCGACTTTGCCTACGTCTATATTACTCCCCTAGTCTATGAATCATATACCTTCGTGGTTGTGTCCATATCACAGAGTTCAGTAATACTTATTATTTTAATAACTTTCATCACAAATGCCAATTTTGACATCTTATACAGCACTTTTTTACTACAATGAAATTAACTAATAACGATTATAAAATGCAAGGTGTCAACGTGCGCAATGGTATTTTCTCTCCCAATAACGTTAAGTGTATTGATATAAACAATTCTCCTGTAAGTTATATTTTTTAAATTCATAGAGCAGTATCGCTTACATCGATAATCAAAATCGAAACTGAAGGTATAGGCTGTCATGGCGAATATAATATATAAGTTGGCAAACAAGTACACGAGCTGAGTGATGTTAAACACTTGACGTTTCTTGTAAACCCTCCAGAGACAAATGGTGTAACATAGTTTACTTACATTATCCTTACCTATAAAACATGGATTGCTGGTACTCTCCGCCAACCAAAAGTACCTACAATTTTATGAGGACTGCTGTGCTACCTGGTCAACAGTATTTCTGAAATATTAAATGTGTTGATATTTTCAATTACAGTTAAATGGTCATCAAAAAAACTTCATAAATAGCATTCAAAATGTCCAAAAAACATTAGGATATCTCGAACGCAGTCTAAACAAGACAAGTAAATACGAACAGAAACTAATGCGTTGCAAGAATACACACAGCCATTCACATAATAAACATAAATTTTGGGATAGTGATCTATCAGAGCAAAAAAGTTTTAAATGCAATGCATCCAATACAAACAGCAGTAAGTATTATAAATGTTTAAAAAATATATATATCTATTTTACATGTAGGCCTTACTCACTCACTCTCGCAAGTTATCAGTTAACCTGGTCTGATTGCGGTAGGCATGTTATATTAAAACATAATTTAATGTGCTCAACTTAAAAATACTTAATGTAAATACGCTTCTTTCTGTACTTTGATTTTTTGTTCCTGGTAAAACTGCAGATTTGGGAATACTTTTTTATTACTACACTGCCAACAATCCTAACTTTCAACATGACTGAAACACGCATTGTTATATCGAGAATAGGTACTCCTCTTAAACCTGTTTTAATAAAATGTCTATCGCAGTAATAGTCTTATCCAATGATAATACTAGAATTTGGCTAATTTTGCAAGCAGCAGCCTTGCTTGTGAGCAGCAACGTTGTGCGCAGTATGCTCAATCTTAATGTTTCCAATCATGACCTTGTTTCGACCCATTATTATTTTTCGTATTTGTAAAGGTGTAGTGACGTGTTGGTTAGTGTTCCAAAACCTCTGTTGGTTTATAATGTTGCAATTCGTGAAAACTGTAATTGGCTTGATGTTGTATTTTAAACTGCCCTTTTTCATTTCTGTAGCTATTGGTTTTTTTGACTGAAGAAGTCAATAAATAAGTAAATAAATAATTTGGCATCTAAATTTTGATTTAACGGAAACACAAGTTGGATAGTAGAGTAAGAGTAATGTTTAGTGGTTATCAGTAAATCACTACAGTTTTAATATATGATTCTTGAATATTTTTCTATCTTTAAATATTATGATTCTTACTGTCGAGTCCAATACATTTCACTCAGTAACGATATCTCGACGATGGAGCTGTAAAGAACCCCTTTAATGTAGTTTGCATTAAAGCTCTTAAAATCTGTTTGCTTAGGTAACTATAATTTATTTAAATAAAAGAAATTGGAAATCACCTGTACTCACATTCGCTGTGTTTCAAATAACTTTATTCTTTATATCTCCGATTCTAATGGAGGGGTTCGTTTTAGTCTTAGAAGAGCCACAGAAACGTGATCTCTTATTTGGCCTATTGCCTACTGTTTTTTTCTGAGTTTTAGAGAATTTAGGTTCGAACACGAGTCCTCTTAATAACTGAAAATATTTTAAGGTACCAGTGTATCCAGGAGTGGAATGGATCAAGCTGAATCGTGGTCTACTATGAGCCTTGTATGTCTTCAACACCAGTAAGTACCTACCTGTAAATTCTATGGATCGCCACGATGTCTATGAACTTACTATCACTATTTTATCCTTATGACAGTCGGATTATCAACAAGAAGGGAGTGTCAGTAGTAATTGATTGTGTGTAGTGTGCATTGAACTTTGAAGGTAAGCAACAGGTATTCTTGAACTTCATGAATACCTGTTGCTACCATAGTGTACCTGTCGATTTTTTCTTGCGTTTTCATTGCGTATTTCGAACTAACTTTAGGTTCTATAACAGCGAGCTCACTTCAAATAATCGAAATCCTTCTTTTGACTTACGAGGTCAAATAATTTTTCCCTATAACGTATTTCCATTTCTTTGAACTGTTGTTATAACGACATCTAGTTTCTACCAGGGTTATTTTTTTAGGTAGATATTCAACGTTGCATTCAGAGTACAAACTTGTGAATTAGACTATATTTTGTCTATTGAGAAATTTGTAATTTATGTATTATAATCTTCAGATTCGAAGACTTGTCAAAACGTTATCAAGCTCTTCTACAAGCTTACGACGATCAATGCAGTGCGCTGAGTATGCAGGATATGAAACTTGCGCAATGGCAACAACGCGCAAGTTTAACTCATGCGCATCTCGCTCATGCGCACAAGGCACTCCTTACAATTGGTGAGAAGTATCTGGCATTAAAACGCAAGAGGCATATGCTAGTACGTTGTGTTTAACTGTGTATAATTCCTTAAACTTTAGCTAAAGCTGTAGCCGTAATCTAAAGACTGTTAAGGTAGCTAATACATCCAAACTTTTCCACGTTTTTCTTTCCTTATATATATAGTAAAACATCCTGACGTTAAGGAATCGTTGAAACTTTGTCCATACAAACATCCTTGTAAGAGAGAAATAATACAAACAAAGGTTAAAGTAAAATATAGGTGACTACAAAACAGCCTTAAATTTTACTCTTCGAGGAATGTCTGAACTTCTAGAAAGATATTTATATATATATTATTCTAGGAAGATAGATTATCCTTACCATGAGAACTTACCGTAAGTTACAACTTACAGATATATGTAGATGTCTAGCCTGACCATATTTTATGTTGGAAATTCTAATGGGTTTTCGAATAAGTAATCAATCAATAAAATTATTTTTGTGATCGCCACCAAGAGTCTATGTAAATAATAGTGGACGTAAATAATATAGTATGTGATATAATAATCTCGGTTATAACACGGATCTTGATTATTTTTTAGGTCTCGATAATACCCGGTCTGTAAACGTTTGTAGTCAGTAACTTTCTCTGTAGTCAAATATATTAACACTAAATCGTAAGTAGATGCCTTTCAGAAGAGCCAGTACGAAGAGCGAATAAATCAGCTGAAGAACATCTTGTACGACGTGGTGGAAGTGACTTCGAGAGAACAACTGCGTTTCGACGCAACACTTGCCTACTATATGTCGTCTGAACACAGCCCTGATGCTGCACTGTTGCTGTATGAAGTAAGTTGTGGAAGAACTACTCCCTCTACGGTTCTGGTTAAATTTTTTATTTTCATACACCAACGTCTCAAGAATAGAAATTATTTTCTTTATATAAGAAAGCAAAAGAGAGAGCTAAAGAGTGTTTTCTTAGTTTCGCGCAAATTCCAGACACTACTAGTTCAATTGAAGGAATTTTAAATTCATTCGAGCGGCTAGTTCTGACGAAAGATACAAAAATGGCTTATTATAAGTAAATCGGGACTTAAGTGCATATGCTGAATTAATTGACTACGAATTTACCTATGACCATGAACGGTATAATTCGGTCGAAATATCGTGTCAGGTACCTTTTGGATACCTGACACGATTTATCATCGTGTCAATTATTATCAGGCATCGTCCCAATGACCGCGATAAAATCCCGAGTTTCGTTTACAAATACAAGTAATCTATGAAATTGCATTATAATGACCGTTTTTTACTTTTCTTTCAGATTCGTAAATGCAATTTTCTATTGATGGAGAATATGAGGTTAAAAACAATAATTGAAGAACTCCTTCCCTGCGGTGGGAATAGGAAGTTATATTGACAGTTTTACATCCTAAATGTAATGTAAACATTAAATAAAACTGTAACAATTTTACAAACGTTTTATTAAATATAACATATAGAAGTAAAAAATAATATCTATAGGTATATATCAAACTTATTTAAAAGTAATGCACTAAAAATATAGTCATGTCATATCTACCATTTTAAAATCCTCATGATGAGCCCTTTAATTTGATAGGTGGGTACCTGTATTGCAGTATCCAAAAAAAAAAAACTTTTTTTACTTTAAACTATAGCGTCTCACAGTCGTCATGTCGTTTTCTTTTTTGCGTCACTTATTTAAGAACACTTGGGTTACCAAGACGAATCTAACGATAAGTTAATTAAATAAATCCATGCAGCGGTTTGAAAGATATGAGGTAATAAAGAATATTACATGCATACATACATACATACAAGATACGCGCGATAAACATAACCTTTCCTCGGCGGTCGGGTAAAAAGTCTTTCTTGCCTTCTGGAGGGATCAGGAAGAAGGCAAGACTTTTAACATAGGCATTTAACAAAAGCAAAGAAAAAGGTACAATTAAATGACTTGCAATACCTCCATGCAGCCCCATCTAAGAAGAAAATCTGGATAGGTATGTGTAAAGTTTTCATTTAATGTCATGTCATTTAAAAAAATCTTTAAAATACTAGTTGTACGACACAATTTTTTAGCATAACGTCAATAATGATTTACTGCATAATTTTTAAGGCTAAGGTCTGCCTTGGCGATATAACTGTAACGGTTATTTCTGATTTTCCTACAATCATAAAATACAGAGATATTCTGTAAAAGGGATTGAACTTTTTTAAATCAATATTTTTATAACCGTCCCCCTTAATCCCTTTTCGTAGCATTGACGTCAGGCCTAAAAAAAATAACCTACTGGTTTCTGAAATTATCAAACCAACATGTTGTTCTTTAAGTATTTGCTTTATCTTTTATGCACTCATGTATGTTGAGATTCAACTCCATATCAGAGGTCTATATCCAGGCGATAGATAGAACCTGAAACATCTTGTGGTTATAATTGGCTCAATTTACGTAGATCGTTCCTAAGGTTTCTACACTTCAAAATAGTCATTACAACTTGACGGGACACCGTCTACGTCATATAATAAGTTTTGTTAGACTCACATAAAATCCGAAACTTCATGGTGGAAATTACCAAAGTATTTTTCTAAGATCTAATGATTTAAGATATCATGTTCGTTTACACTTAATTACATTTATTATTATTGATTTGTATTTTAAATGTAAATTACACGCTCTAGTTACAATTTTCAGATTCTAAAATAAAATCTTTAGTAACTTCCACCCTTAAGCAACTACATAAGTAGACCTATAGGCTATTAGGATTTTACTTTAGTTAGTTTTGTATCACTCTTTAATTCGTGACGTTTTATATAACATAACACGTTTATCCATAAAAATGACATAGTAGCCACATAGACGACTCGTAAATATGGCGGCACGAAAAAGAAATTGATGGTCTGCGCAGGTATCCAGAAGGATTGATTCGCTAAATAAGTGTGCAAGAACTTCTGATTAAACTCTTCAAAGAGATTTTCACTCCGTTCCACAACTGCCATTACTGAGGAATGAAATAAAGTATTTGTTTCACTAACATATACTCACTTCTTATACGTAATCGGAACTTAGTTTATTAGTTTTTTACTGCCTTGATATTTCAGTCGCAGGATCCCCAATTTTATGGACGGAGGCGAACAGCCCACCTCGGAGTATCTGCGGTAAGCCTTGGTCGAGCGGTAACTTCTCCTTAATTTTAAAATGATAAAATGGATGGTCTACATTTTTTTTAATAGAAGTTTTGTCACACGCGTCTGTATTTCTAAGTCCAACTACGGAATGCAGGGGCGCACCTTTGAAGTTACCGAGGCGTAGAGCGTAGAATTCCATGCACTGTTAAGGACGAGTCCGCACGTTTACGAACGGTATTCTTTCCGTGGAGTGATGGTGCGGACTGGTCTGCATCCATCCATAACACAAGCCCAAAATCATTATGAAGGGATTAACGTAGTCTGTTTTTTATCTATTTTTGTAGTGACAATGCTCCTATTGTTCTGCCAAGGCAGGCACCACCACCTTTTTTTTTTTTTTTTTTGCGGAAGTCCCCTCGGATACCACCTGTCGGTGGCATGTCGGACTCGAACCGACTAAAACGAAGACGACTAATAGCCGGGGAACCAGGTATACCCTAGAAAGGAAGTCCCTGGTGCCCCGACATACCTCGGGTCATCTACAGACGTGTAGACGACCCCCCCCCCCCCCCGTGTGGGAACCCCATGTTCCCTGTGCTCCCTGGAAGCGAGCGCGCTTCGCAACGCGCTCGTCGCCACCCTCGCCACCCTCATGGCCTCACCTGTCACCCCCAGGCCTGCGCTTATGGAGGACGGAGGTCATTCTGCGACCTCCGGCGCCTGAGTCGCCGGAGGTCGCCTGAACCTCTCCCGGTCCCGCTCCGCCGTCTCCTTCGCGAGCATAACTTGCTCGCAGAAGGAGACGGCAGAGTTCCACGCACTCTCGCTCCGCAAGATAGCCGCAATCAGGCTATCGAGCGAGAGAACTCCCACTCCGATGGCCGCCACGAGGTCTCGCCTCTGCTCAACCCACGCCGGGTACTCTGCCAGCGTGTGGAGAGGCGTGTCCACGGTCTGGCCGTCGCAGTGGTGGCACTCAGGCGTTGGCTCCTTGCGGATCAGACACAGGTGATCCCCGAAACATCCTTTCCCAGTGATCACCTGCGTCAGTCGGTATGAGAGGGTCCCGTGCCGCCTCTCGAGCCAATCCTCCATAACGGGTCTTACCGCCGCGATGACGGCGTGCCCGAGGCACCACCACCTACAACTCCCAAAAAAGTTATATTTATTCATTTACTTTACCTATAAAGAATGTAGCCAGTAATACAGGTGTCATAAACCCCTGGTCGGCTATCAACTTCGTCAGCACAACCCTAACACTAGTGCCTGGAAACTTTTTGTCCAAAAATCTGTAACTGTAAATATATATCAGAGATGTAGTTGTACAATTATAAATTATAAAATAACAATGCTTAAGATCGAATATCGTAAAGTACATGCGTAAATTGAAGCAACCAGCAAGGTGACCAAGTGACCAACTTATTTATTGCTAGCTTTTGCCTGCGGCTCCGCCCTCGTGTGTTGCTGTATGTGCTTTCACGGTAAAAGGTAACCCATGTTACTAGCTGATAATATTTTCCATTGGTGAAAGACTTTTAAAATCGCTTTAGTAGTTTAGGCGGGCAAGCGTAAACAAACAAACGAACTCATTTTCACATTATAATATAAAGTTTGGTTTGGATAGACAGTTTAACAACATAGGGTAAAGCCACCAAAGAGTACGCACTACCAACGAGTACGCAGTGCCCTTCGTTGCTTTATTTTATATTGAAATGGCAACACTACTGCCACTTATTAGTGGCATATATCGTGTTGAAGCGTTGGACAACAACTCGCTTCGCTAAGGTACTTATATTGGATTTTATGGCAGAAAATAAATTTTCGAAGTGTTTGATTTTATTTTTTCACAATAGCCAAAGTTTAATTTAAATAATAAATACAAAATGTAATCAATCATAAAGTTGTTTTAATAAAAAATAAATGTTTACAAAATGCGCACTCTTTGGTGGCTTTACCCTATGCATGTACAACATTTAAAATGTATGCCATAGCTCTTACGTATAGAACTATAAAAATGCCACAGTATACACCAAAAGGTTGACAAAGATCAAACTAAAAACATTTATATATTATCATCAGTTTATTAAGCGACCTAAGTCTGTAGGGTTTCCTTGTTAAGATATTTTCTTAATTTGTTTTCCTGTGCGGCGGTCATCTCGGATTCCACCCACCTGTGGGGTGATTATGTCGGACCCGATCCGATCTAATACCGCACGCCGATCTGGGGACAGAAGCCGGGTAACCAGGTGTACCCTAGAAAGGAAATCCCTGGTACCTCGGGCCATCTACGGCATGTAGATTGTGCTCCCGAAAGGGCGCGTGCGCTCCGCAGCGCGTCTTGTCGCCACCCCGGCCTGCTTCTGCTAGGGTGACAGATGGCCTCACCTGTCCAGGCCTGCGCTTATGGAGGACGGAGGTCGTTCTACGACCTCCGCCCCCTGAGTCGCCTGTGGTACCGGCCGGGAGAGTTCTAAACCTATCCCGCAGCTTGCTCGCAGAAGGGGACGGCGGACTTCCACGCACTCTCGCTCCGTACCATGGCGGCAATCATATTACCGAGCGAGAGGACTCCCACTCCGATGGCCAATACGAGGTCACGTCCAGCCACGCTGGGCATTCTGCCAACGTGTGGAGCGCCGGGTCCACGGTCTTTTGGCTCCTTGCGGATCAGACACAGGTGATCTACGAAGCATCCTTGCCCGGTGATCACCTGCGTCAGCCGGTATGAGAGGGTTCCGTGATGCCTCTCGAGCCTATCCTCCATATCCCCGGGGTCCCCTGCAATAAACGACGATCATTTGAGACAGAACATTTAATGGGTTCGAGTCCGATACACTATTTCACCCTCGGCTCCGGTGAGATGGTGACCTGTGGTGATATACAGGGTTACAAGAAAAGTCGTGCTAGATCCGTTAAGGGCGTGGAGTACCCATCATTTCTGACATATTTCACTATGAAACACCCTACCCTAAACTTAACCCTTTTCGAGATAATCGTCTTTTAATTTTTTTATTGAAATTTGCTGATTTTTAGGCTACTACATTTATTTTTGTTTATTTTGTGTATCTTATTATTATAATTTTTGCATTTTTACATGTGTAATAAGATGCTTTAGGACGTCAGTCATTAAAAAAGTTCATAAGTTAATTGAATAGATCGTAGTAGACAAGCGAAAGTAAAGAAATAAAAAAAAATATTAGAAAATTATTTTTCTCTAACGGATATCTGAAAACAATATTATGGTAATTGTTCGGCAGATGTTTTTTAAAATATCTACGTTTCATCAGCTATCTAACGAGGTATAATAATCTAAGGTTTTATTCAAATGCATTGAAAAAACATTAGTTTTTTGGTTTGTTGAAGTCCAAAAGAAAACACTTGATTTTTGTGTCTATTCCTTATAACATTAATTATTCACGATGGCGAATTTACAGACATCAACACAGTTCACTTATTAACTACGGTATCGGACGAGACATGTCTTTATGTTCCAAGCTATTTTGACCGTCAGTCTTAGAGAGCGTCCCGCGGTAGCGGAACTACGTCATCGAGTCGGGTAGTGATGTAACAGGCAATACAGGCGTAGTGATATGCAATACGCGTAGTGATGTGCAACGCCACACCACCCCCCTACGGAGAAAAATAGGCCATAGGCCACGAGCAAAAACATTTTTTTTTTTACAAAATTTGGTAAATTAGGATGTTAAACAATATTTGGCTAGTTGCTAGAGACTACTGTATAATATAGTATACGAATAGTGTATATAAAAAAAAAACTTATAATTAATTACACCTAAGTTACATCTAAAGTTAGAACTAGTCAGACATTATGAGGAAATTTAAATTTTACCGTTCGGCCTGACCTGGTGGTAAAGGGTTGTCGGACAGGAATGCCAGAAGGGTTCCCTATTTGGATATCCGGGGGAGCGCGACTAGGCTGGTTTACAAGAGGCGTCTGAGGCGACGCAGCAGCTCCTGGGACTACTGTAGGGGGTCGAGAGGTGGAAGTGCTTGGGTCGGGGTCTGAGAAGATGTATGCAGGCTTAGCGAG